AACACAGCCTGGGGTTCTTAGTGCTCAGCCCCCAGACCCCTCATTTCCAAGGGCAGGGGCCTGCTTAATAGAACAAGGGCTTGTGATCTTTCCCACTGGGCTCAGATTGATCCCAGGCAGGCCCGCCCACTCTGGACCATTGAGAGGGGACATGGCTGTTGCCGGATCCCAGTGACCCGTGGGGTTACAGGACTAGAGGTGTGGACAGCACAGACAGGCGCTATAGAGCTGCGGGCTGCCTAATATGCCATAGGGGACCGGAGCCCCTGAACTTGGAGGCCAGCCAAGGGCAGAACTTAGTGTGTCTGCCAGAAGCTTTTTTAAGTCTTCCAACACCTATTTAACCAATTCCTTGTACTAAATTCTTTCTCTTAACTAGTATGATTTCTTTTTTATCAGCTTGACTCTGACTCATACTAGAGGATTAGGGTAAAGCACGGATTTCTACATGACAGGCTGGCTGGAATGTACTTCAGAGGGCTAAGCCAGGCTGAGGGATAGTGGTGGTGAGGATAGAGGTGACAGGCAAGAGATGGTGTCTAGAAGTCCCAGTGGTGATGCCAGGAGTCTCTAATAGGCTTAACTTGGGGAGGTGGGCAGTGGGTAGAGGGCCAGACTTGGGGTTGTGGCCAGGGCGATTTCTAATTCTGAAAAGCCCCCAGGACTGGACCTATTCTAGCTGAGCCAGTCCCTGCTCCAGCTATACCCCACTCCCTGCCTGAGGTTTGGCAAGCAGGGCTAGAGTTGACAGCCACAGCCAGGATTGGGGAAGGAGTCCTCCCAGCACAGGGTGGGGATGGCAGGGTCACAGAAGAGCTCAGGTGGCTTCTCTACCCACAAAGGAAATCCAGCCTGGGGTGACAAGTTCCTGCTGTGAAATCTCAGGGGAACTGTCAAGCTTTGATGGGCAGCGCCATCTTTCCCAGTCCTGGGGTCTTGCTAGGAAAAAGATTCCAGCTGGATAGTGGAGGGTGAGTGGAACGAAGGGTTGGAACAAATGGCCACCAGCTCTACCTACTCTCTCTCCAACCTTGCACTCCTGGACACAGGACGTGGGGTTCTGGAGCCTCTTTCTGGTGGGAGCCCTCTACTTTGCTCTTCATTTCTCCATTGCAGTGAAGTCCTATCACTAATATGGTGGGTTGAAATGCAAATAATAGAAACCAAAATTTGAGCTGCCTTATTTTTGTTCTTCCTGAGTGCATGGAAGTCTCAAATTGGGGAAGCACGAATTGAAGATTGGTAGTTTGTAATTCCATTTATTTAAAATGGTTTTAGCATAGTTCAACTTTTTATTTGATTGATACCTGCTTGTTTAATGAATGTATTCTAGTGCTTACAAATCCCAAGGTACCCATTCCTTCCTCATCTCTGCTGTAATGGCAAGCACTTCCATTTCCATTTTGAGGCTTTCGTGGTTCCCTGGTTCCGTGGTTCAGTACAGTCATGGGACATTGTGTTTTTCTTCTCAGGCTTTGGACATCATCTTGGAGAAGATGAAGGCTTCGGGCTTCGGCTTCTCTCAAGTCCTCGCCTTATCTGGGGCAGGCCAGGTTTGTCTGCAGCAGCCCCCATGCACCGTGGGAGAACGGATATCTTGGGCAGTAATGCTGGTGCCTAGGTGACGGCTCCCCTAGGGGGAAGGTGCTCATTTTTGAGACTCACTGCACACATTATTTTGTTAGTAAATGTCCCTATAGCTGTTTTGCCTTTGAGGATGTATAGCTTGGCTCCTTGCAGAAAGATCTGAGAGAGTTCTTATGATTCAGCATTGCATGAAACAGGACACTGGGTGAGGGGGAACTGGGCAGAAGTCCTCTGAGGGGATGGAGGAGTATTTGACATGAATTTATTACGCCTGGGGGCACTAAAATTGCTTTTCTATTTCCTGGAAGTAAAATCAAAGACAGAAGTTATACTAATGAGGGTAGCAATTTTAGTAGTAGAGATTAGTAATTAGTAATTAGTTATTTGGGGTGTGGTCTGGGGTCTTTCTGTGTCTCCAGAAGGGTGTGACACCTGTGTGTGACCTAATGAACATGTGCTTGGGTTTCTCTTCGACAGCAACATGGAAGTGTATACTGGAAAGTTGGGGCCAGCCAGGTGCTGAAAGGCCTGTCACCAGACCTCCCGTTACACGAACAGCTGCAGGTAAGCGTGGCCAGGTTGTGGAAGTCTGAGAAACTTCTGTAGACGGGGAAAGGGGTCCTGAAGTCTGGGCCTTTTGCGCATTGTCATGGTATAGGAAGGTGGCTCAGGCAGTAGTCCTGTGAGCATGATCTGCCCTGCCACCCTGAGATGGGTATACCTGGTGTCTGAAGGGAGGATCAGGTGCTAACAACTCCCATCACATGGCCTCCTCCTGCCCAGCTCGACTCTGGCTTGTTCCCGCCTCAGGAAACTCTCCTTGGGGCAGGATGGCTCCTGCTGTTGCTAGGAAGGCCAGCTCTGGCTTCTCCTTTACTTCAAGAATCCAAATGCCTCTGCAAATCATAAAGTTGCTCTAGCACTTCTCTGCCCATCTCTGATGTTGCCTGCAGCGCTCAGGCATGCTCACCAGAGCCCTTGACCTCAGGCTTTCCTGGCCAGGCCAGGAAGAGGTGCCCACACCTGCCGTGTGCCCACCAGTCCCAGAGTCAGCAGGCAAAGCCCAAGCCTGAGCCTTTGCTCCTTTCCAGGCCTGTTTCTCTATCAGCAACTGCCCGGTATGGATGGACTCCAGCACCACAGCCCAGTGCCGCCAGCTGGAGGCTGCCGTGGGTGGGGCCCAGGCTCTCAGCTGTCTCACCGGGTCCCGTGCCTATGAGGTAGGCACTGCCCACCGTGGGCTGGGGACTGGGCCTGGGCCCAGGAAGAAAGTCAGATTGTTAGGTCTTGTCCTCTCTCCCAGGGTGTCTGGGTGGACACAGCTTGTGGCCTGCCCCTGTGGGTCATGATCACTCCTGTGTTGTCACCCCTGTGGAGCCAGGACTGGGCATTCTGGCTCCTGTTTGTAATCATGGTTGCCCTGCCTCCCCGTAATGTCCATCAAGCAAGGGCAGGCCTCCTCTTGCATGTTCCCAGGTCAGAGCTGAGGCGTGAACATGGCTCTGCTCCTCAAGCTGCTATGTATGGGGAGATGACGGCACCTCAGCTTCAGCTTCTCTAACCTGGGGATAAAGATAGCACTTACATTTGGGTAGTTTTGAAGCAGGTAGGATTTGGATTTTTAAGAATTTGTGCTCTTTTTCCAGCGATTTACAGGAAACCAAATTGCAAAGATTTACCAGCAGCATCCCGAGGCCTACTCACACACTGAGGTTGGTTAAACGTTCATATTTGACTGAAAGTCACAGTTGGATTCCTTTTATAATACTTTAGCATTAATACAGTTTGCGTGTATTGGCAAAAAAACACTGATTAACAGCCATTAAAAATGATATATTCAATTTGCTTTTTTCTCATTCTCATTCTCTCCAAAGAGGAGTGAAAGAATAGAATTGTAGGAAAGAGAAGTCAGGGGCTCCCCTATCCAGAAGGGCTGGAGGTCAGGGTCAGGGTGGGAACAGCAGGGACTGGTGTCTTCCTGGGACCACCTCAGCGGGAGATCTGGGTGACATTAGGGTCTGACCATTCAATTTCCTGTATGATGGATGCAGGGTGGCTAACGGGCTCCTGATTGACATAATGTCAGTGTTTTATTAGAAAATTTGTAAAGCTGGACCGATACACCCCCAGCTGTAGCCTTTCAACCAGGGCCTGTGTCCCAAGAGCCCAGATTCATTCTTTGATCCACAGTTACAGAAGCCAGCACTTGATGGCCCCTGAGAAGTAGCTCAACACCCTGGGTAATAATTGTCATCTCTAAGTCATTAGGAAATGATCAACTCTTTAATCTTGGAAGTTAACATCGAATTTATTATTTAATGATTTAAGATTGCTCTGCAGCATTAGCCATGTAGATGGGGGAGGGCGAGGTGGCGGATGAAAAATCCTCTCCAAATTCTGTGAGACCAAGGACGGAGACAAGTGGCGTCGGGATTCTCCCCGCTGGTCCAAGGGCCCATGATTTCCATGTGGAACACAGACCCTCAGGCGACATTCACCATCCATGGTCAGTCCCTCCACCTCACAGCTGGGGTCTGTGTGACTTCGGAGGGACCAGCTTTCACAGATGCTTGCTCTGAGCCCTCGAGAGTGTCTTCGTTGATTCCGAGTCCTGTGGCCACACCTCTCGCTTCCCTTGTGACTAGATATACAGACCACAGAAGTGGTGGAAGGAAATCAGGGCACCTCACTCCTGGATTCCAGCGGCAAACCCGCTGCTCTAAGCATGGCTTTTTCATAGGGCTTGTTGCTCTTTGCTGTTGTTGAACTTGACAGTTTTATGGCCTGTCAGGAACTGCAGAGTGAGGTGCTGTCCCAAGGAGTCGGTTCTTGGTATTCCAGCTACTCAAAATGCTTTCCTCTGGAATACTCACAGTTTCCACTTCTCTCCCCAGTTTAAAACTCTTCGTGCGTGAGTGTGTGTGTGTGTGTGTGTGTGTGTGAGAGAGAGAGAGAGAGAGAGAGAGAGAGAGCGGGGGAGAGAGAGAGAGAAATATTCAGTTGCTTAGGATATACGGAAGTGAGTCATCTCACTGTTTCTTTCTTTTGCAGAGAATTTCTTTGGTCAGTAGTTTCGCTGCTTCCCTATTCCTTGGGTCTTACTCCCACATTGACTACAGCGATGGTAAGGCTTTAGAGTCCCAGGCATGCAGGCAGCCGTGCAGGAGCCTCACCCACCGTGGCGGGGAGGGGGTGTGGCCGATCTTTCATTCCTGTCATCTGTTGCCAAGAAGGGAGTGTCATTATCTTTTGCTGCGTAACAGAGGACTCCAGCACTTAGCAGCTGAAGACCACAAATGCGTATTAACCACAGAGTCGGTATCTGGGAGCAGCTTAGCTGGCTGGCTCTGGCTCATGATCTCTCATAAGAGACAGTCAAGCTGGCAGCCAGGGCTGTAGTCATCTAAAGGCTTGGCTGAGGCTGGAGGATCATGTCCACGGTCACATGCATGATCATTGGCCAGAGGCCTCAGTTTCCCCACCATGCGGGTCTCCCGTGGGGCTCTTAAGGGATGGGGGAAGGACAGAGAAGAAAAGCAGAAGCTGCCAGTCATTTCCTTCCTAATCTTGGAAGTGACACACCATCACTTCCACACCCGCCTGCCGGTCGCACAGACCTACGCAGGTACGGGGAGGCGGGGACCTCACCGGGTGTGAGTACCAGGACCCGGGATGAGCAGGGGCCACTTGGAGCCTGGCTCCCACGAGGAGTCGTTTACTGAAGTTTGTGTTCACCTTTGGGGGAACTCATGAGAGTTGTGAGCTTGTAAATGGTACCAGTGAGGAAGGAAAGCTGGGAAGGGCTTGCCGAAGGAACTCTTGGATGAGTTCTGGACTAAAAGGAGTGACCAGAAGAGGGGAAGAGATGCACAGCAAGAGCCCAGACCTGTGAAAGTGGCTTCAGAAGAGAGTCGTGGAGTGCTCTGAGTCTCCTGGGATTGACCTGAAGGTTGTGAGTGATGTTGTGTGCCGGACGCTAGTCTGGTTTTCAGGGAGATAAAGGAAGGTGACTCAGGAGTGGCCTTTAAGTTTCACTGAGTCTGGAGAAGGGAAGGTTCCTACAGCTAACTCCATGGGACTCGGACCAGCAGAACCTAAACCTGGACTAGCCTGAGCGCCCACCCACGCTCTCCACACCTACCTGGGACTGTTAAGTCCCACAGGGAAGGTCACACCACTGCTACGGTAGGCATTCCAGAGGGTCACGTCCTCAACCTCTGCTGGGCCCTCCGCTTCGCTCCCCTCACTCTCACCTGAAGACTCACCTGACTTACCAGCCGTCTAACCTCACGTGGGCACATGACTCTATCTGTCCCAGCCCCCCTCTGTCTGTCTCCACCTGTGCTCTGGGTTCCCTCCCCTTCCCCAGCCTGAGGAAAGCCTTGGCAGAAGTAGAGGAGGAAGTTTAGAGGCTGAGAGCTCTCCTCCAAAAGTGAGAGGTGACTGGAAAGTCCCTGAGGGCTGATCCACATCAGGACCGGGCTGCCTCCTAGTAGACACCGTGAAGCCCCAGGGGACACAGAGTGGTTCCTTGTCAACATTTGCTGGTAGTTTTCCTCCCCCAGCCAGATCTTAGTGCAGCTTTCCGTAACCCTGGCTTTTGAGCCCGTGAAGACTATTTAGAGGAAGTGGTGGGGCCCTGTGTTTCCAAGGGCACTGCTGGCCTCTGGTTCTCTGGTTCCAGCACGACCTGGGGACATCGTCTACATTCCATTGTACGAGTTTGCTGTGAGAGAATGGTCTGTTCTCTGGCAGATGTGTGCATTTTTACAAAAGATCCTTTTTTCAAGATGTTTCTATTTTTTGTCTTCTTCCTTCCTTAGGTTCTGGAATGAATTTGTTGCAGATCCAGGACAAAGTCTGGTCACAGGCTTGCCTTGATGCTTGTGCACCTCACTTAGAAAAGAAGCTTGGCCCACCAGTACCGTCATGCTCAGTTGTGGTAGGTCCCTTTTCCAGTGATGCGACTCTAAGAGCTGACAGCTACTGCAGCTACTGGGGAAGCAGTGCAACACACACACACACACACACACACACACACACACACACACACACACAAAACACACAAATGCACACACAACACACACATGCACATACAATTTTCAGTCCCTAATCTCCGGGCCACGTACTGATACAGGTCCATGGCCTGTTAGGAACCGGGCTGCACAGACACAGCACACACATGCACACACAATTTTCAGTCTATAATGGGTCCCTAATCTCCGGGCCATGTACTGATACAGGTCCATGGCCTGTTAGGAACTGGGCTGCACAGCAGGAGGTGAGTGGCAGGCAAGCCAGCAAAGCTTCATCTGTATCTGCAGCTGCTCCCCAGCGCTAGCATCACCGCCTCAGCTCCACCTCAGATCATCAGGCATTAGATTCTCACAGGAGCACCAGTCCCTGGTGCCAAAGAGGTTGGGGACCGCTGTATGATAAGGCATATAAAGTTAGATGTCTAGATCAGTGCCTTGCACTGAAGTACTCAGGTGCTTGTGTAGGTCACTGCCTTATGGCAGGAGAGGTGGAGGAGACTTTGGAAAATTCCACTAGGAATTTATTAGAATAGGGGGAAAAAAAACAAGTCAAAATAACTTCTGGGTGATTGTACACCATAGGAAAAAATGCACAGAATGTTTCAATTCTTGGGCTAGGCACCACCACTGAAGGTTGAAGCAGGAAATCTGGAGAAAATAGGAAAAACAGCGAGCCTGGCAGAGCACAAGCCCTGTTGCCAGACTGCCCAGGACGGAATCCTGGCTCTACACAAACTGGCTCTGTGACTTTAATCTCTGCCTCGGTTTCCTCATCATTTCATGGTTCCTGGAACAAAGAGCATAATATTACTTTCTATTTCATTGGGCTGTTGTGTAGAATTAAAGAGTCGATACCTTTAAAGTGCTTAAGATAGTACCATTGTATTAGTAAACATCAGTGTGGCACCCCATTCAGAAGACACTGGCTGTGAACGCTCTGGTGTGCCCTAGTGGGCCGGTTCACTTCTTGGCTATTGAGGGGAAAATGGAGACGAGAGAGACCTGGGTGCGGCCCTTTGGCATGGAGCACAGGCCACACAGCCGGAACAGCCAGATATCCTGAGTGGGACACAATGCTGGGTGTGAAGGAAGGAGGAGGGTCCCCAGGGCCTGGGAAGAGTCGTGGTGCTGGGAGGGGTGGGCCACGAGGACTCCCTGTTGGGAATCCCAGCCACAGACGCGCTTCTCTGACATCCACACTGACAAGCTGAAAACAGCCTTTGCCACCATGAGCAGAGCCACAAAGCCACAGCATCACTATCTAGAGGCCAGCACACAGAGCTTAAGGAAGGGTGTCCTGCCCCATAGAAGCAGATGGTTCAGGACCCAGGCACACTGCTGCATGACAGAAAGACAAAAGGAGAGTGAACAGAACACAGCCAAGCCTCTGGGATTGGTATTCCACGCACGGCTTTTAGTTTCATGTGAGATGGAGAGCAATGTTTTGTCCATGGCAGCAGGCTTTGTCTGCCTTATGCCAAGAGCACAGGCCTCCGAGGGGGAGCCCGTGCAGAGACTAGCAGCTTGGGGAACAGGACAGGACCGATTCTGAAATGGTTCTGGATTTTCATTTGTAACGTATGTACCTCATGATGGTGATAGAGAAAACAAGCAAAATGCATGTTTTCCATCATATCTTTTTTTGAAGGTTTTCTATAGGAAGATATTTGGTGATGGATTGTATTGGGCCCCACCTTGCCTCCCCCCAGCCCACCTCTTTCACAGCCATCATTACCTGGCGGCAGCTTGCCTGAGCTGCATCCTATTTCCCTCACTTTCCTCACTCTCTGAGGCTTTTCCTCGACTCCACATTTGTGCTCTGCACACCTGGAGTGGCAGGGGGTAGCCCTTCGCCAGCAGAAGCCTGTGGAGAGCTGCTCCCCTGTCCGGTTGCCAGGTAGACAACCCCGGGTCCGCTTCACACAGCAGCTCAGGCGTCGCCCTGTGGCTGAGCCTGGTTGCCCACAGTGCTAACAAGCTCAGCATCACAGCCTTGAATGGACTTTCCTTCCTTTCCTGTTTCACTCTTCCCAGCTCCCCTCTCATTTCCTGGGATCATTTCACCAAATAAGCCACCTGCATACAAGCCTGGACTCAGGGTCTGTTTTTTGAGGCAGCTGAGTCCAAGACATCTATCTTGGGGCAGATGGCTTATTCTGATGTAAATCTGAAATTTTGCTGGAAGGAGCAAACTTTTCTTCCCAGACTCCGTTAAATCCCGTTCTTTATTTTAAGCGTTTAGAACGAAGATAAAATCAAGGAAAGGGAAAAAAGTTTTCATAAGTGTACATTCTGAAGACTCAGGTCTGTCCAGGGGGCGTCCTTGCCCTCTGGTCCCACAGCCCCTAAGGGGCCTGGTTCCTGGGGTGTCCCTCCCCGCCACTGCCTTTCTGAGTTTATTTTCTTTAGGACACTGACCTCTGCATTTGTGTATCCAGTTATTCTCAATCCGATTGCTGGGCTGATAGAGGATGCATGTAAGGGTTTATCTACTCCCATGGGTTTGCTTACTGGTGTCTTCTGGTTATTTAATTTTTAATGCTAAATCCAGAACTTGGAGCTTACACAGCAAATACAAGTTGGGGATTGGTTTGCTCTAGTGGCCTTGAATCTCGAAATCAAGTGGTCTTCAAGGTGGTGAGATGACCTCGGTTTCGTAGTTCCAAACCCGTCCTGGGCCCCTCTGGCTTTTCGTGAACAGGTGGGGCATCCTGGTCTGTGGTAGGGAGTGAAGCTGACCCAGGAAAAGATTAACCCGCTCGAGTGGAGATTCAAGTCCTGCACAGAGAGAGAGAGACAGACAGACAGACAAAGAGGGAGAGAGAATTGTTCACTGAGCACAGTAAGGAATTGAAATGCATGACAGAGTTAGAGACAAAAGGAAAGTTTAATAGAGAAAGAATAACACTCCACACACATCCAGAGACAAAGAGTGAGAGAGAAAGGAGTGGAAATGGAATGAGAAAAAGACAGGCAGACCCTGGTGTTGGGGAATTTAGTTTATATGTCGTTCTTAGTTTCTATGAATTACAGTGTAAAGACTGTTTACCTATTTGCCTTTGATGGTATTGGGCATACACTGTGAAAATATGGGTATGTAGTGTGAAAGGCTGCTGGCAATCCCCAGCCTTTGTTCCATAGGTTCCTCATGGTTTTTGGCTGTAGGGAATGAATGATTGTTTTTATTTTGTGTAAGTACAACTTAAAGACTGTTTTCCCTTTAAGACGTGGGTAAATAAGGGTTCGTTAGTAATCCCAGCATGAATCTTCCTTTGTTCTGTAGGTTTCCCATGGTCTGCAGCAGCACATTGCAGGCTCTGAATACAGCTCGATTTAACATTTAGTTCTCATGCCTCCTCCCCGCATTAGTGCGACTGCAGGCTCCGTGACCTGGAGCCTGTAGCGTGTACCTATGGCCTGAGTTGTAGATGGCTGTGCAAAGCAGGTGAGATTTGCCTCAGCAAGTCAGAGGCTGCTGACTTTTTCTCCTCAGGGAGCCGTTTCTTCCTACTATGTCCAGCGCTATGGATTTCCTCCAGGATGCAAAGTGGTGGCCTTCACTGGGGACAACCCAGGTGAGAACCTCGGGGGATTTCACTCTCCAAGTAGTCCGACTTGGTCATGCTAGACATTTGAGAATGGCAGCCCAGCCTCTAGGCAAAGCCCTTCTGTGGCGAGGCCCCTCCTTCCCTGGCTGTAGCCTCCACTGCTGAAATCTGACTTCTTGCACCTGTCCCACCTTGTCCCTGACTGCTCTCAGGAGCAGTTTAAGGCTTTCCTCACTGCCCCTCAGGTAAAAATTGATCAGCCATTAAGGAGGGCAGAGCGCCCACCCCTCCCTGTCCTGCCTTTTCTTTTGGAATCGAACATTTCCGTTCTTTCAGTCCTTCCTCTAGGACATGGGTTTTGAGTCCCCTCCGCCATTCGATCTATAGATGTGACTTACTCTGCATCCAAATACTTGTTTTCTTTTCAAAATGAAAATAACTTCATTGAGTCTCATTAGGAATATGTACTAGTTCTTATACCTGCTCTGTCAACCAGAAGAATAACAGGGAGAAGAATAGGCTGCTCTTTAACCCCTGAAGTGTGAGCTTCTGGGCACATTTGAGTGGGAATGGCAAAGCAGCAGCTTTCTCTCCTTCTTCTTGGACTTTGGTTTCAGGCTGACCGTTGGAGATACCAGGCAGGTAGCCCTCGGCACGTTCCTCCCCAAGTCTCACCTTCGGTTTGCTGCTGCCTTAAATAATACTTTAGTTGCTCCTTTGTTAAAACAACACTAACAAGCAAACGGACTAACAAAGGCTCTTGCTTTTTCCCCTATTCACAAGGGATACCTCTGCATTATGGAAAAAATACTTAAATACTGACAAACCTGGGGAAGGATGTAAAAATCATACAAAATCCCTTAATCCGTAGATAAGCACAGTTAGAATTTTGATGGCTAGCCTTCCAACCTTCTTTCTGTGTCCATAAATAAGCATGTTTTATTTTAAGCAACCTGGGCTATTGTTTTGTACAGCATCATTGTAATGGTTGTCTGGGGTTCAGTTGTCCCAGCAGTTATTCGCCGTTCCCCTACAGATGGAGGTCGGTGTGGCTTCTGGTGTTTGGGCGATGCAAACAATGTGGAGATACACGTACTGTGTTCCTTGTCCCTATAGGATAAGTGCTCAGAGGGGATTCCTGGATCCAGGGCTCCGACACGCACTGTCGATTGCCCCTCCCCCGCAGTGTTTGAGTATGCCTGTTTCTCCCATTTCTCCTTTCATTCAGTCATTCATTTTCTCGATGTTTAGTGAGCACCTGCTACATGCCAGGCCTTCTTTTGGTTCCAGAGTACAGCAGTGAACAGAGCAGATAAGGATCGATGTTGTGAGCCTCACGTCTAAGGAGGGACAGACAGTCAACATAACTTGGCCCCTTTCCACGTCACTGGGCAAGGGGAAAGCCCCTCAGTCCCGCCTCACCTATGTCTTTCTCTGCCATATGTTTCCTGGTGTCTTGACCTGGCCCCCTTGCTCTCTGTACTCCTGGGACGGCCTGACAGTGGATTGGGAGTTTGGACCCCTTTAGAGAAGAGGTCCCAGCCCACATCAGAGGCCTTCACCACCATCTGACCCCTGGAACCTCCTTTTGGGTCCTCCTGAGCCCTCAGCTCACCCTGTTCCTGCCTCTACCCTTAGCATGTGGATTCAGGTGGGAGGTAGGGGCTGCACTCCCATCTGGCAGGTGAATGCCATTTGCTTTGTGGCTCCCTCATGGTCTCCAGCTAACTAGAGGCTTCCCTCCCATTCTCAGCATCGCTGGCGGGCATGAGGCTGGAGGAAGGTGACATTGCGGTAAGGTGATCTCACACTTACAAGTGGGGCCAGCACTTTCTGACCTGGGGGACAGGGATTCTGGATTTTGGCAGCATCTTTGCTGCCAGTCAGAAGGTCTGCCGGTCCCAAAAGGCAGCTGAGGGAGGGGATAGGGAGACTCGGGCCCCAGGACCTGCCTACATCTCTCTTAGAAGGTCATTTGCATTTGCTGTCCCCTGTCTTCCTTGACAATGGCCAATCTTGGTGGAGGAAGGGTCAGACATTGGGCCAGAGGACTGAGCACTCCAGATAAGTAAGAAAGACATCACCAATACCCTCCTGAGTTTAGTGGAAAAGTTACCTGGGGAACCAATCATTACCCACACTATTAGTTCGACGCAATTGTAGTAAGTTCTAGAAAACCAGACCGTGGGATCCATGACTCCCTGTATCTGGGGAGCTGACCTTGAACTCACCTGTTGTGGAGGGTCAGAAGAGGTTTCTCTGGGGAAATGGCATTTAATCTGAGGTCTGCAGCATGAGGAGTGAGTGGCCAGGGCAGGTGGAGCCAGGCTCGGACTGAGGCGCCTATCTTGCCCGTCTCTCCCCAGGTCAGCCTGGGTACCAGCGACACCCTATTTCTCTGGCTCAAGGAGCCCACACCCGCCCTGGAGGGCCACATCTTCTGCAACCCGGTGGACCCCCAGCAGTACATGGCACTGCTGTGGTAGGTTGGGTAGGGAGGAAGGAAGTTCGGCAGGTCTGGCCCCCCCAGAGCACCCCATGTCATTCTACTAAGCAGTCATTCCATTTGTGGGCAGCTGAGAACACATGGACTCATTGGGTCTTGCTGATAGCAGAGCTGGGTAGGGGAGAACTCAGGACCTGGAGTTCCCCAGACCCAGCGTCAAATCCCAACCCTGCCACCACATCCTGCGTGGCCTGGGTTAGGTGCCATAGCATATCTGAGCCACACTTTGCTCTTAACAGAGGGAGGATGAGAGTGTTCATCCATAGTGTTACGACACATCTGGCACATGGCAGACCTTCGGCAAACGGCAGTGAGGACGTCCCGCTTCCCGACAGTTCTCATGGACAGGGTGTACTGTGCACCCTGAGCTTCTAAACCTCAGGAACCACTGGATAATACATAGGTCTAGTAAATTTAGCCAGCCCTTCCCCATTTTCCAGGTGGTACAGTGTGCAGAAACCCCAGCTCCCTGTCTCTCTCTCTGGGCTCTTTTGTGGCAGCCTCCTCTGTAAACAGAGCCCAAGACAAGTGTATTTCCCAGTGACTTCCAGGGGTGTGAGCCGGGCTTGATACCAAGGGAGAGCCTCAGATCCCTGCCATGCACTGGCCGGGGGTTGTGGTCCACCCTGACCTGCAGCCCCTCTACTCTTCATGGAAACACATGGGTCTAGTCAACAAGCGCTGGGTTCCTCCCTCAGGGTTGTGTATACTTTTGCAGCTTTAAAAATGGCTCCCTCATGAGAGAGAAGATCCGGGATGAGGCTGCTTCCTGTTCCTGGAGCAAGTTCTCTGAAGCGCTGCGGTCTACAGAGATGGGGAATGGCGGAAACCTGGGTAGGCTGTTTGGTGATGCCCAGACTCGTGAAAGGGCCGCAGCTGCCTGGGTGGAGGGGGGCACGGCCTGGGAGAAACCAAAGGGGGCCTTCTCTGTCTGTACTTCTGCTCCATGGGCCGTACAAGCTGGTGTGAGACTCGTATTCTGAGTGAGGTGGTCCATGAGGCTGCTCTTGGCTGCCACTCTGTGCCTGGCATGCAGGATCAGTCTATGCTGCATCTTCTGTCGCTTTCGAAGCCCCTGGTGACAGCATCAGAAGTGGTAGCCACAGTGCCTTCTCTACCCTGATGCATCTCCATACACAGCTTTCTGCCCCAGACATAGGGTCCTTTTAGGAAAAGTGCCCAACATCTGGAGCAGGCCTCTTAGCAGGGAGGGGATGTGTCTCCCTTGATCAAACCTGTGCTGATATTCTAGGGTCAGTGGGGCACTGCCCCGTGGCCTGGCCTGCCAGGTGGGAGTAGGGAGCGCTGAGAAAAGCTAGCCTCGGCCTTTCCAGTTGCCCTCTGTCCTGCCAGAGAGAAGGAACTGAGAACATTCACAGGTGTCATCTGGGGGTAAGGGGCCTCAGGGACAGGGCTGTGGAGTCATTTCACCCTGCTCTTTCTTCAGTCTGTTGAGAAATTCATCTTTTTTTTTTTTTGACTGCTGAAAGCTTAATCTCTTCCTGGTCTGTTTCAGGTTTTTATTTTGACGTAATGGAGATCACCCCTGAAATTACTGGGCGTTATAGGTTTAGTGCAGAAAACCGTGAGGTATGTGTGTTACTGGTATTTGAGCTACATTGGCTCCATTTCTGAGTATTAAATTTGACAGTCAGCTATCAAATTATGCTACTTTTTGGGACTTCATTCATTCACGCTTCTATTAACAAACAGTTTTGATGTGCCCAGGAACATGCCTGATACTAGGGAGTCAGCTGGATCTAAGACAAGACGCCATCCTTCCTCTCAGAGAGGACTGGAAAACAACTAAGGGGTCTCCTCTGAGCTAACGTGCTCGTACTGATGATCACTAAGCATCATAAAGCCTGTTTCCTTGGTGAACTTTATCCCACACCTACCAAGTACTCACAGATCTCAAGATCGTGAATTTCCCCTTCATTGAAAGACTCTGAGATGGGCGGGACTCGCATTTGTCGGCATTCATTGGCCGCTCTTTAGTTCCAGGCACCTGCTGGTGGTTTTCTTTATCTTTCCTCGTTTACCTCTCATAGCAGCTCTGTGAGGTAGGTAATATCAACAGATGGAGAAATGGGGCTCCAGAGAGATTAAATAACCCAAGTCACGAGGGCATAGATGGTGGGGGGCGGGGCTCAAATCTAGTCTTCTCTGGCCCTGAAGCCACTGTTTTATTCCCGCCCCACACAGTTTGTGGCCTTTTCCAGGAGTGATTCAGTCATTGCTTGCTGCTTTGAACTGACTTTTCTGTGAGATGGTCACCAGAGTCATCACCACATCTTGGGTTGGATGTGAGATATTTCTGATCCTCATGTTTTGGGGCTTCAGTCACTTTGCCAGTAACTGTAACAGAGTTGGCGTTGAATTGTATGGCCGATGGAGGTGTTACATATTAGATTGTAACTGGACAGTGTCATAAGAAGTGTAGGGGGTTCATCTCGATCTTCTGATGGAAGATCGGTTTGGTTTCCATTGTTCATGGAGAGAAGATATGCCCGTTCTCTTTTGCGTATATATATCTAGATATGTCAAGGAGAAGGTAGTTTACTTCATTGATTTGATTAACAGATATGTACGACTGGTGCCAGGCATTGGGGTCACAAAGGAGAATAAAATACCCACGGTCCAGGGAGTCCATCGTCTAGGAGAGGGATGGGCAGTGAACAGGTGAACACACACATATAGGATAACGGTGTATGACATGACTAGGAAGGGGAAGAACAAAGTGCCACATGAGAAAGCAAGGGGGAGCTGGGGGAGTTGTCCTAGATGGGGTGACAGCCTCTCAGAAGAGGTGGACTCGAGATGGAAACTTGAAGGATGAGTGGGCAGACATCCAGGCAGAGGGAGCAGTTTGAGGAACTGAAAGCAGATGAGTCAGGTTGGCGAAGTACATGAAGGGGAGAGTGAGAGCATCCATCACTCAGTAGAAAAACTGACCAGGCTAGAGTCGACACCTGTCAGGTATGAAGGGGAGAGTGAGAGCATCCATCACTCAGAAAAACTGACCAGGCTAGAGTCGACACCTGTCAGCTTTAGCCTGAAGGATGCCCACAGTTGGGGGTTCCCAGCATAAGCTCCTGACTCTCGCTTAGTGTTAACTATGTAGCCCAGCCCTAAAACACAGGTACCACTGTTACGTCGGTTTTGGTAAGAAAGAAAATGAAGGTCAGCAAGATTTATGCAACTTACTCAAGGTCACAGAGCTGAATGGCAGAGGCAGAACTTGAATCCTCGGTGACCCGAGCTCGCTGGTGCTCTGATTCCCCGAAGCGATACTTCGTGAGGCTATGAGCACATGTGTGTGAGTTGTGTCTTTGTGTGGGTGCGTGTGACAGGCAGTTAGTGGTTCAGGAGCCCAGTTATGCATGAGCTCCATTGGAGGTCTGAGTCATGAGTTCGAATACGGGCTATTGTTTAAAAAGATAACACTTACACACAGAGTGGACGATGCGAGTTCTTCACTCTGTGCCTACTTTTTCCTGGAGACAGGTCTCGGCTTTCCCCAGGAATGTGGAGATCCGAGCACTGATCGAAGGACAGTTCATGGCCAAGAGGATTCATGCCGAAGGCCTGGGCTATCGAGTCAGTAAGTGAGCTTCTAGGGAGCTGTGTTCTAGGGTGGGGGCTCAGGGTCCCGCTCACACCTTGAGGTTCTTGAGACCCTTCTCGGCCTTCAGGCATGGCCCGGCAGGGCATTGTCTTTTAAGGCTCCATTGTAGGAGCCTCATGCAGGAGGGAGGTGGAGCCTGGCTCCGGGTAGTGGGGTGAGAAGGAGTGAACTGGCGCTTGTGGGTGGCCATACACTAGGAGGCAGATTGTTCCTGCTTCTCTGCCCCAACCCCAGTAGCCTGATCTCCTGGCCAGAACCTGTAGGACTTGGAGATTGTTCTGTAACCCTAAGCTCCATCCTGCAGACTGAATGTCCCATGCTGTGGACACTAAGGGTATGGGCAACACAGGTGGGAAAGGTCTGGGCTGGGGGCCCTGACTGGACCTAGACTTCTAGCCGGGCCAGGCCCCATCTGCCTGGGGGGGCACAGTCCTGGGCATTTTATCTGGGACGGGAAAGAGCGGGGATTTAGAGCTGCTGTCAAAACTGAGGTCTGGAATGGAGTGCCAGAACCAGGCTGAAGGAGGCACACAGCGGGAGAAAGGGATTTCTAGGAACTCAAGCTGTGGAATGGGCTGCTTTGGGAGGCGAGTGACTTTTCCTTACTGATGATATTGGAATGGTCTGGCAGTTCTGCGAGGAGTCCAGGTTTCCAAGATTTATTTGTCCCTCTGGGCAGCTACTGTTGTCACTGGAGAAGGTAGAAAATGCGTGAAGCCTCTTTGCTTGGTGGCCTCCATGGGAGTACTCCCCATGGGCAATCTAAGTTCTATGTAGTATATGCGTTTGGTCTTTGGACCAACCGAGTAAAAGGATACTTTAAAAATGAGCATTGGGGAAACCTGAAAACCTGTGAGGCAGCACCTACTGAAGCTGCATGCACACGTCTCTGTGAATGCACAGGGGAACCATGTGCATGTATGCTCCAGAGATGGACAGGAGACCATTTGTCGTGGCTCTGTGCTTGATAGCCCCATGCGGGAAACAACCCAGTGCCCCTTGATAGTAGATGGAAGAAATGCATTGTGGATCTTCGTGCAGTATGATTCCGCAAAGAAACAAAAACAAGCCTGCCTCAGCCACACACGACAAAATCGATGCATTTCACAAATGGAGCCGAGCAAAAGAAGCAAAACCCAAAGTACCTATGGCAGGATTCCACATACATCCAATTGAAAAACAGAGGAAACTGTTCACTGTTGTTGGAAGCCAGAATAGTTAGCAGTTCCCCGTCAGGAGTGGGGGCATGAGAGGGCCTCTGGGGTGCTGGTGATGTTCTAGGTTACACTGGTGTGTTTCGTTTGTGAAAATTTATCAAGCTGTCAGCTTATGATGTGTATGTACATTTTTCAGAATGTGTGTTCAGTAAAAACTTTTAAATGCAGTCATGTGCCACATACGACGTTTGGGTCAATGACGGACCACATGTCGGACAGTGGTCCCATAAGATTATAATGGAGCTGAAAAATTCCTATCGACTAGCGATAACATAGCTGTCTTAACATTGTAGCACAACACATTCCTCCAATGTTTGTGGTGTTGCTGGTATAAACAGACTTACTATGCTGCCAGTCATATATAAGTACTCTGTCTTTTCTGTTTAGATATGTTTAGATACACAGATACTTACCGTTGTGTGACAGTTGCCTACAGTGTTCAGTGCAGTAGCATGCTGTACGAGTTTGTAGCCTTGGAGCCGTAGGCTACACCATTTATCCTGGGTGTGTCACATGCAAGACCATCCAGGTTCGTGTGAGTGCACTGTGTGATGTTCGCCTAACAACGCATTTCTCAGAAGGCATCCCCTTGTTCAGCTGTGCATGATTGTAAATAAATGAGCATTGTAAACATTCTTATTCCTCTCCATCCTACCATGCACACTGAGAAATTCCCCAGAGGTCTTGAAGACTTCAGAAGTTTCCTGAGAAATGAGATCAGGCGAGCAGGGCAGGGATGGTGCTGAGGCTGGCGCCAAGTGCCTGGCATGAAGCGTCCTCTGGCTGTCAGGAGGGGGCCCTGACAGTCCAGTGTGGTGGGAGGGATGCCGAGGGCAGAGAGATTGTTCTGCTCAGGAGAGGTAATATGATCATGTCATTATTCCCAGCTTCTAAAGTGTTTCCTGTGCAAAACAGCATAAAATTACTTATCCTCTTAGCAAACTTCAAAGCAGAATCAAACCCGTCTTGCCAGCTCTGCTGGGTTCCTCTCAAACAGGACCTTGTAAATGAATGTGCTTGGAACCACAAAGGGCCATGCAGACAAGAGGCATCATTCTCCCCTCTGCTGTGTGGGTTGACCTGCTCAGGTTTCGTTCTTGATCAGCTATAACCTTTTTAATAGCGTCTAAGGAGAATAAGTAAGACCGATGATCATAATAATGGCTGCCAGCATTTACTAAGCACCTACTGTGTGCCTGGCCTGGTTCTAAGTATTTATTTCTTATTAATAACAGTGCCTCTGAGGTAGGTGCTAGTATTACTCCTGTTTCACAAAGTAGGAAACTGGGTGTTTAGTCACTTGCTCGAGACTAGCAGAGCTTCTGAACCAAGCCAATATGGCTCCAGATGCTGGGTTCTTAACCCCTGGCCTACATCTGCTTTATTTAAGTAAGGAACAATTGCCCTCTTGATGTTGAGATACCACCAACATCAGCTGGGTTGGGTTAAAGCCATGGTCCCTTTTTAGCTTACATGTCTATGTATTTCTTTCTTTCTTTTTTCTTTTTTTAGGTTGATTTATAAAAGCAATATAACCTCATAGCAAATTTCGAAAAATAAAGAAAACTACTTATAATCCCATTGCATTATCCAACCATTGTACCATCTGGAGTTTTTCCTTTATGAGCTTGTTTTTATATGGCCATATAGTCCTATTTCCTTTGTACATACAAACCGTAAAGTTCATCAAAAACCATCTTCATGGTGCTTGCCCTCAAGCCCAGTTGTCTTTCTCTGTAATCAGACATAGAGGCTGTTTTTTATTTTCCAACATGGACTCATTCTAGAACATCTTCCCACACCCTAGATTGTTGCCTTAGGGAGCTGACGTTCCTTCCCTTTTCCCAGTCCAGATGCTTTCTTTTTTTAAACAAACAAACAAACAAACAACTTTATTGAGATACAATCTACATTACCATGCAACTCATTTACTTAAAGCGTACAATTCAGTGGCTTTTAGTATACTTACAGAGCTGTTCAACCATCACCACTATCAACAAATGTGTTCTTAATGGCTGAGGATGAAGATGGGGCAGGCCGAGAGGTGACATCGGGGGCTTAAAACATTTATTTAAATAATCACGTCATAAACGAATGCCTTCTCATTGGAAAAGAGTTGAGCAATGCAGAAATGCACAGGTTTAATCTCTGCGAGATTACAGAGATCTCTCTGCTTTCCCACCTGCCCCACATCACCCTTACACAGTAACAGTCTACGGGGGAAATTTATTGTGTGGGGAGGGCTAGGTCTGCCTTTGGGGCACTTCTAGATTCCACTTTGCCACACCTGCCCAAACACAGTTGCTAAATGTTGGACAGGTTTCTCTCTATCCTGACTGAGTTTATCTGCCTCTAGAGACTTACTAGTTCACTTGTCTTTATAGTACTGGGATGAGCCAGCACTTAAGGGGTCATCTCATCCTGGAAGTAAATGTATTGAGACTTCTTTGCACTGACAACTTTTAGATAGCGTTAGATAAAAATGTGTTTGTTTGCATAGTCAACGTTCTCTCATTGTAAAAGCACAAGTGATGTTTTTTCTTAATCATCTCCTTTTTGACCAGAAATGGAACTATATATCCTAATAGACTGATGTTTATTATTTTTTGTTGTGAAAATTATCATGTATGCAGTAGAGTATGCAAATCATACAGCTAATCGTAAAACCTAATTGTAAAAATCTAATAAATCAAATACCTATTTATTGAGCACCGTGGTTAAGAACTAGAACATTGCCAGAACCTTAGAACTCTCCTGTGTATCCTCTTTAGTTGCATCCCTCAACCTCCGAAGTAATTTGTCCTGATTTTGGTATTATCATTCCCTGAGGTTCTTTATGATTTTGCTAGCTATGTAAAATTACATTATTTTGTTTGCCTGTGGCTGAACTTTGTGATATATGGACTTTACTGTATACGTTCTTGTGTGACTTGATTCTGTCACTGTTTATGAATTCATCCACATGAACTAGTGTAGCTATTAGTTAACTCTCACTGCAGTATAGTATCCCATCACAGGATTTATACCATGATTTATTTATCCATCCTTCTGTGATACACATTTGGTCTTTCCAGTTAGTTCAGTATTCTAAACAGTGCTGCTGTGAACAATCTTGTAAACGTTTTTGGCTGATTTTTCTTTATTTCATCAGGTATTGGTAATAAACTGACAACCTGAGTACAGATTCTGTTTCCAGAACTTGTCATGTTTGGCTAGCACTGTGTTTACTTTTTTAAAACAAAGACCTTTAGGTAGGGTCTGCTCACTCGGGGGCCACATCGGTACGGCGTCCTCCTGGCCTCTGCAGGCATTCCTATTGACATCTGAGCTGAAAGGCTCTCTTCTCTTTCTGGTAATTACCCTTTGAAATTTTAACATAGATACTAAAATGTATAGTATTTGATCAACATTTAGAATTTATATTCAATTCAGTAATTATATTCCCCATGATAAAAAGATATCTCGTTCCCTCTTGTCTCTCCTTTCTTCACAATGTTACTGATTTGTGTGCATTATACATCAATAGTTACTTAAATTATACATTTGACTGATTTATTCGATCGCTACTATTTATTATGTCACACATCTTACTATTTTTTGGGTCTGCCTGTCATCTTTGTTTCAGGGCATCCTTGACTAATTCTGTCATGTGCGGGAATGGTCTCAGATTGTATGAAAGTAATTTTTTTTTTTAACTTTTAACATTTCTTTTAATCAGTAGACTTTTTAAGAACAGTTTTAGATTTATAAAAAAAAAATTAAACAGATAATATGGTGTTCTCATATTACCACCCCATATAACTCACTCGTATAACCTTATATTACTCCTACAGAGTTTCCCCTATTATATATATCTTCTTTTTAGTATGGTACATTTGTTACAATTAACAAATCAAAATTGATACATTATTATTAACTGAAGTCCATAGTTTACATTAAGGTTCACTCTTTGTGTGGTACCACCCATATGAAAGTATTTTTATTTTGCCTTCGTCCTTAAATGCTACTTTTACAATATGTCGACTTCTGAGTTCAAATGTCATATTATTTCAGAACTTTGAAAATGATGTTATACATTGTTTTCTGACTTTTCGTGTTGCCACGTGAGAAGCTTGATGCCTGTCTGAATGATATTTTTTTCTCTAAAGAATCTTCTGGAATCTGCTCTTTCTCCTTAGACTTCTGAAATTTCTCAATGTCTAGATATAGGCCTTATTCATTCATTGTGCTGAACACTCATTGGCCTCGTTCATCTGAATATACCTGACTTTCTTTTATTGTATTCTTTTATTATTTATTTATTAT